CCAGCCGCTCTCCCGCACCAATAAGACCCCGGCGCCTTGCGCTGGGGGCCATCTTGGTGAGGGCAGACCCCGCGCTGGCCGGCGGCTTCGCCCATGTTGGTGAGGGCTGTGGTCCTAGCGGGCGGCCTCTCTCTCACAGGCGCACGCGCCACTTTGGAAGACTGGGCCGCGCGTCCCAAAATACCCAGGCCCAGTCAGCAGCTCGCAACCCCTGCGCCAGGCTGGAACCAGCTCAGAGCTCCGATAGAATGACAGGGCTTTGCCGATGTCATCGGATCCTGGCTCGGCGGAGCACCAACTTAACGCGGAGACCTCTGCCCTCAGGAACCCGACAGCCAGAACCAGTCACCTACACTCTCGGGTCCCCTGACCGGCCCTGAGCAGCCTGGGACGGCCGCCTGGGGGAGGCGGCATCCGGGCCGAGTCCCGCAGGGTAGGGGAGGCAGGGCGAACAGAGGCGTGTGAGAAGCCGGAGACGCAGGCTCGCGGGGCAGCGGGTTGGCCCACTCTGGGGACCCCCACCCCGCACCCTATGCGGGACTGCGGGTTCGAGTCCCTGCGCTTCTGACCCGGCCAGCTCCCTGGGAGGCAGCAGAGGACGGCCCGAGTACCTGGGTCCTGAGAGACCCTGACGGAGTTCCTGGCTCCTGGCTGCAGCGTGGCTCAGCCCGGGGCTTTGCGGGGATTCGAGGCTAGAACAGTGGATGGCAGATCCTGATTTCTCGCTCTCTCTCGCTCGCTCTGCCTTTTCTTTTTCAAAGAATTGTTGGGGCCGGCGCTGTGGTAGCAGGTAAAGCCGCCGCCTGCAGTGCCGGCATCCCGTGTGGGCGCCACTTCCAGTCCCGGCTGCTCCACTTCCGATCCAGCTCTCTGCTGTGACCTGGGAAAGCAGTGGAGGATGCCCAAGCCCTTGGGCCCCTGCACCCACGTGGGAGACCAGGAAGAAGCTCCTGGCTCCTGGCTTCGGATCTGTGCAGCTCCGGCCATTGCAGCCAATTGGGGAGTGAACCAGGGATGGGAGACCTCTCTCTCTCTCTCTCTCTCTCTCTCTCTCTCTCCTCTCTCTGTGTAACTCTGCCTTTCAAATAAATAAATCTTAAAAAATAAAAGAATTGTTTATTTGAAAGGCAGAGTTACAGAGAGAGAAGGAGAAAAGAAAGGTGCATTCCCAAATGGCCGTAACAGCTGGGTGGAGCTGGACCAGGCCAAAGCTGGGAGCCAGGAACTCCGCCTGGGGCTCCCATGCTCCCACGCGGGAGGCAGGGGCCCATGGACTTGGGCCATCTTCCCTGCTTCCCCAGGGGCATTAGCAGGGAGCTGGGTGGGTAGCGGAGCAGCCGGGACTAGAATCAAGGCTCACACGGGATGCTGGTGGGCGTGGCCGGCAACGGCTCAGTAGCCTGCACCTCTGCGCAGGCGCCAGCTCTGCCTTTCAAATAAGTAACTCTTTCTAAAGCATTGGATGGAAACAGTGGCTATCGGGAGGGGTGCGGTCAGAGGGCCCCTCCTGCCCTTGCTGTGGGGAGGGCTGAGCTGGGGCCCGAGTTGGGGTGGGCTGGGCCCCCACCCCGGCTTGTCTGCGAGCCTTCAGAAGGTTCCCAACTCTGTTGCCTGGGACAGCAGGGGGTGGCAGCGAGGGGAGGGGCCCAGCAGGCGGCAGCCCTGGGGAGACCCCTCCTTCAAAGCCAGGTCGAGCCAGGCCTTGGGACCTGAGAGGCTGGGGGAGCTCCCCGCCCCTCCCAGCTTGCGCCCTGGGGGCAGTTCGTGAGATAATTGGGGTTAGAGGTCCTGTGGGTCTTGGTTGCCTTCTTTCGTGGCTGGGCTTCTCCTCTCGTAATCTAATGGCTGGGCAAGCAAGGTGATGAGACTCAACGTTTGGCCACGCCCCCAGGGCTCCTCCCGTAATCCTGTCCACAGCCGCTGTCCTGTGAGATTCCGTGAACCTGAATCAGGGCACACCTGGACTTCTACAGGGTCTTGCTGATGCAGTCAGCAATATTTCCTGCACCTTTTTTTTTTCTTTGCAAAGCAGAATAATAGAGAGACAGAGAGCTGGAGAGATCTTCCATCCGCTGGTTCACTCCCCCAAATGGCCAAAAGGTCCAGGGCTGGGCCAGGCTTCAGCCAAGAACTCCATCCAGTTCCCCCCGTGGGTGAAGGGGCCCAGCACTCGGGCCATCCTCCACCCCCTCCCCAGGCGCATTAGTAGAAACCTGGATTGGAAGCGGAGCAGTTGGCACTCGAACCGGCACTTCATTATGGGGATGTGAGCATTGCAAGCCACCATCTAACCCAGTGCACCCCAAGCCTGGCCCCTATTTATTTTCGCATCTTTTTAAAGATTTATTTATTTATTTCAAAGACAGATTTACAGAGAGAGAGGTCTTCCATCCGCTGGTTCACTTCCCAGTTGGCCACAATGGCCAGCGCTGCGCTGATCCAAAGCCAGGAGCCAGGAGCTTCCTCCAGGTCTCCACATGGGTACAGGGGCCTAAGGACTTGGGCCATCTTCCACTGCTTTCCCAGGTCATAGCAGAGAGAGAGCTGGATCAGAAGCGGAGCAGCCAGGACTAGAATCGGCGCCCATATGGGATGCCGGCACTGCAGGCGGTGGCTTTACCCACTGTGCCACAGCGCCGGCCCTTTTTTTTTTTTTTTTTTTTTTGACAGGCAGAGTGGACAGTGAGAGAGAGAGACAGAGAGAAAGGTCTTCCTTTGCCATTGGTTCACCCTCCAATGGCCGCCGCGGCCGGCGCGCGGCGGCCGGCGCACCGCGGCCGGCGCACCGCGCTGATCCGATGGCAGGAGCCAGGAGCCAGGTGCTTTTCCTGGTCTCCCATGGGGTGCAGGGCCCAAGCACCTGGGCCATCCTCCACTGCACTCCCTGGCCACAGCAGAGAGCTGGCCTGGAAGAGGGGCAACCGGGACAGAATCCGGCGCCCCGACCGGGACTAGAACCCGGTGTGCGGGCGCCGCTAGGCGGAGGATTAGCCTAGTGAGCCACGGCGCCTCTCTTACTCAAAAGCCAGTCTCTGGCCGCCTGCTGGACATCAGCTTAGCAAACACCAGGGTGCCTCACAAACTTCGTGGAAAATGGAATTAAAAGATACATTTACTTTGGTGTGAAAAAAGCTTAGAATCCCTGTATAGTTTTTCATAATACACATTCCTGTGAGCTTCTGAAAGACCCCTGGTACTCGCTCATGGATTTGCAATTTTTTTGCACGAAAATAGACACTCTTATCCCCACTTCCCATGAGTTTTTGAAGGACTTTCGTTCTTTTTTTTTTTTTTTAAGATTTTTATTTATTTACTTGAGAGGCAGAATTACAGACAGTGAGAGGCAGAGACAGAGAGAAAGGTCTTCCTTCCATTGGTTCACCCCCTTAATGTCTGCTACGGCTAGCGCTGCGCTGATCCAAAGCCAGAAGCCAGGTGCTTCCTCCTGGTCTCCCATGGGGTGCAGGGCCCAAGCACCTGGGCCATCCTCCACTGCCTTCCCGGGCCACAGCAGAGAGCTGGACTGGAAGAGGAGCAACCAGGACAGAATCCGGCGCTCACATGGGATACCGGCGCTGCAGGCGGAGGATTAAGCTAGTGCGCCATGGCGCCAGCCCCAGCACTCCCGTTCTTAAGTAGCACCTCTCGGGACAGACACCGCTCGGCATGCACGGATACAGGTGCTCCTTCAGGCCGGGCACAGCCGGGCGACACAGGCCCCTGTCATCAGCATCTCCGTTTCCCAGGTGAGCAAGCAGGCACAAAGGAGAAAGCACGCGCTCCAGTCGCAACGCCAAGACTTGAACTCTAGGGGCCAACATTGTCGGTGTTTCCATCCCGGCTGCTCCACTTCTAATCCAGCTCCCTGCTAATGCACCTGGGAAAGCAGCAGAGGATGGCCCAAGTCCTTGGGCCCTTGCACCCACGTGGGAGACGGGGAAGAGGCTCCTGGCTCTGGCCTGGCACAGCCCTGCCTGTTGCAATCATCTGGGGAGTGAACCAGCGGATGGAAGATCTCCGTCTCTCTTCCCGTCTCGCTCTGTAACTTTTCAAATAAATATATATATTTTTTAAATAAAGCACTTTGCGTCTCACAGGTATCACATGCAGCTCTACCCTCTTTAGGGCGAGTGTGTGCTTGTCCTTAGCACCACTGGCGGCCTGGGCCACTCCTCCTAGCAGGGGGGCCAGGCAGGACGCCCTCCCCTCCCCGAGCACTGACGTCCAGGGAGCTCTCCCTGCGGCTGTCACGGGCCCTCTGGGACGCCGGGAGCCCACGGTCCTGAGCACCTGCCCTGGTGAGGGAGAGGCCTCCGCCCCAGCTGCAGGGAGAAATGGACGGACGGACTCGGAGGAAGGGAACAGCACAGGAGACGCCAGGCTGCCGGATTGCGGACCGTGACAGGTGCCGGCCCGGCCCTGCTGACTCGGGGGCGTCAGGGACCCCATGCACAAGCACCCGACTGAGGGCGGAGAAGTGGGGCAGAATGGACTCCTCTTCCCCCGCGGCGGAGCTCATCACCCGGGGCTGGCGCTTGGCCTGGCGAAAATGTCTGCACCCCGGGGAGAAGGTTCCCAGTCCCCATTACTCCCGGGGGGCCTGCACTGAACTGCACCCCGGGGTGAGGGTTCCCAGTCCCCACCACTCCCGGGGGGCCTGTGCTGAACTGCACCCCGGGGTGAGGGTTCCCAGTCCCCACCACTCCCGGGGGGCCTGTGCTGAACTGCACCCCGGGGTGAGGGTTCCCAGTCCCCACCACTCCCGGGGGGCCTGTGCTGAACTGCACCCCGGGGTGAGGGTTCCCAGTCCCCATTACTCCTGGGGGGCCTGCGCTGAACTGCACCCCGGGGTGAGGGTTCCCAGTCCC